TGATTCAAACGGTTCAGTATCAAAAAGTGATATCTTATCAATGGAAATTATATTAAAGAAGAGGCATTAATATCTCCTTTGTTGCTACATCCTATGACAATCCACGGGGCTTTTCCATCTGATTTGCAGCTAAAACTTTCTAAATGTGTTGTCTTCTCCATTAGAATATAAGGGCCTTGAGAGCAGAGACTTAATTTTTCATTTGTATTTCCTGTGCTTAGCATAGTGTTTTGAACACGGTAAGCACCTATGTTTTGTTCACGAACCATGCTTTGTTCATTTAACCATTCCTTTAATGCTGTGTATACAAGATTTCTTGAATACTGGAAGTCAGGGCTAACTGGTACAGCCCTAAAGCCATTTAAGTGGTAGAAGGTCCTCTAGAATAGTTGAGTGTCAGACTCAAATGGAAGCAGTTACATAGTGACTTGGAAAATAACAAATTAACATTATCTATACTGTATTCATTTCTTTATTCAATTATTTATTTATTTTGTTAAAGATTTCCCAATTACATTTTAATCTGGTTCAGGCTGAACTCTCAGTTTAGTTCGACACCTCTGCACTAGAAAACCTTAAGGACCTTTACCACCAAGGAGTGGAGTGTGATAGGAACTGTAGGTTTAGATGTAGGTTTAGATATGGAAATACTTTCCTTCTGTGGTAGCAACAGTATCCTAAACCCTCCCCTGACACAAAGCCAGGCTAAAAGACTGACTGGCTCAGATGAGTAACAGCTTGGACTGTTGATATTGGTTCCTCATTACTTGAGGAGAAAGCAGCCAAAATGAGAACCAAGGTGCTTAGTTGGTAGATCATGATGTGGTAAATTAGGTTAAGGGAGTTTCATTCAGTTAAATCAGTGTGAAGTGCCCTCAAACCCTATCTATATTAAATATCTTTTTGCTATGGGTAAGAAGCAAATATCCTTTTGTTAAATGCTAAATGACTTAGGAACATCCCATTTGTTCCAATATCCAACCCAAACTACCAGCACAGAAAACATATTGCTTACCTCTATTTTAAGGAGAGCACATTGTTATCACTCATATTTGATGAACAAATAGTTTCCCCACCCAACTGTTCCTTTTTGAATTCTGTCTTCACTGGTTTTATTTATTCACTTTAAAAAATTATTTAGTAAAAACTTCCTAACTCCTCTGTAAAAAAAAAAAAGATCTCTACACTTTATTTGGTTAATACTTCTCCCCCAACGATAAGGTATCTGATCTAGTTACAATTCTTTAAAGAAATGACCTTTTTCATTTAAGTCATATATCCATTTTTACCTTATTTTGATATACTGTCAAATAGGGAATCCTTTCCTACATAATCTGTGTTTTTAGCAATTTTGAACACCAATTTATGATTGTTTCTGTTTCCTGCTTCTATAGTTTGATCAATTAATTTAATTGTCTGATTTTGTTGTTGCTGTTGTTTTACCAATATCAAATAATCAAATAAAGCTATCACTTTATAATACTGTCTGAGCTCAGGGCATGCCCCTTGCATTTGTATTTTTTCTCATGGTTTCCTTCGAAAATCTAGACCAGAGGTATCAAATACTCAGTCTACGCATATCCTAAAACTCTCAATTGTGGCTTAAACCATGGGTAAAATTTAATTGGGAAATATTTAACAACAAAAAAAATACAAGAGAACATAAATAATGTTAATATGTGGTTTTCTAAGTCAATATGTGACCCATATGGATTTTTATGAATAGTATAGTGGGCCCCATTTCTATCTGAGTTTGACATCACTGGTCTAGATCATGCAACTTCTGAATTAATCCACAGTCATATGAATTTTTAAAATTTAGTCATATTTTTCACAGTAATTTTTTTGCTAATTATGTTATCACCTCATAAGGATTTTTTTAAATGTTAGATAAATGTTTATTAGTGAAATTCTTTCATATCTTTAGTTTTTTGTTTTCACTCCCTCTGGTTTGGGCATTACAACCATATTTGTTAAAAAAAAAAAATTCAGTGCAGTGCCTCTTCCCTTCCCTCCCCCTCTCACCACCCCTTCACCCCAGAATATTTTTCTATTACTCTTTAATTTTTTGCATGAATTGAGTCTGTATGGCCCAAGGGATTTTTTATTTAGCAATTCATTTGTGATTTGCCCAATTTGCTACAAACCTTCTCTTCTCTCCTCATGCGTGTCATACATCTCCTATTCCCAAATCTCAGTGGGAGTTCATTGCTCTACTAAGAAAACAGAGCACATCTGCCATAAACTACCTTTTCTCCTTTTTTCTACATCTCAAATTCAATCTCTCCAAAACAGAATATATTATCTCTGCCCTCGACCTCCACTACCTTGACAAATTTACCTTTCCTCTAAACTTCCCTATTACTGTTCAGAGCACTACTATCCTTCTAGTCACTGCAGCTGACAACCTAAGCATTATCATCAACTCTCTTACCCCACATGCACCAACTATGCCCAATCTTATCACATTCACCTCCACAGTATTTCTCACATCTTCCCCCTTCTATCTACTCACATAGGCACTACCCAAGTTCAAGCCTTTATTACTTCTTATCTGGACCATTTCAATAGCTTCCTAATTGGTCATCTGGCTTTAAACTTTTCCCCATGGCAATGTACCCTCCACAGAGATGCCACAGTTATTTTCCTAAAGCATAGGTCTAATTATGTCATTCTTCTCCTCAATAAACTACAGATCACCACTGCTTTTAGGATCAAATATAAACATCAAATATAAACATCCCTGTTTGGATTTTAAAGTCTTGGGGCAGCTAGATGGCACAGTGGATAGAGCACCAGCCCTGAAGTCAGGAGGACCTGAGTTCAAATCCGGCCTCAGACCAAACACTTGCCACTTACTAGGTATGTGACCCTGGGCAGATCACTTAGCCCCAGCTGCCTGCAAAAAAAAAAAAAGATAGGAAGGATTTTAAAGTCTTGTACAACCTGGTCCTAAGCTACCTTTCCAAACCTGTTATCTGTTATTCCCCTTCCTGAATTCTATTCTATCGTTCTCATACACAACCTTTCGTCTGTCATCTGTGTACCTTTGAAAAGGCTGTTACACAAGACTAGAATGCATTCCATAATGACCTCTGCCTCTCAGTCTCCTTGTTTTGATCAAAATTCAGTTCAAATTCTACAACTCTTCCAGCTTTTAATGTCATTCGCAACAATATTTTATATGTACATGTTAACTGAGGAACTGATATGAGAAGTCTAAGCCTTTATTCCTTGAGCCAACCAATCTCCAGTAATAAAGATAGATAGATAGATAGATAGATAGATAGATAGATAGATAGATAGATAGATAGATGGAGAGATAGACACAGAGACACACAGATAGACAGAGAGACAGACAATCTATGTTTTTCCTCCAAGAGAATGTTAACAAGATGCTCTTTAAGAGCAGGGATAGTTACATATCATTGTTTTGTATTTTTATTTTAATGTCCTCAGAACCTTGTAAGATACCTAGCAAATACTAGTTGTTTGATAAATGCTTGGAGAATTATTTCTTTTATCTTTGAGAGGGTAAAACTGTTTTCTTGTTTTTTCAGTTTTGTCATTCTACATTTTTGTTGGCACTAATTGATTTCCTTTGAATTCTCAAGTTAGCTCATATAAAATTATATATATTAGCCCCAGATAATTCTTTGCATTTCTTCTCTGTGATAAATTCACCTGGTGGGAGAGGGAGAGCTAGATGATCCAGTGGATAAAACACCTGGCCTGGAATCAGGAACTCTAGAGTTCAAATCCAGCTTCAAACACTTACTAACTGTGTAATACAGTGCAAGCCACTTAACCTTTGTTTACCTCAGTGTCCTCAGCTGTAAATGGGGATAATAATAGCACCTACCTCTCAAGGTTGTTAGGAGGATCAAATGAGATAATAATAGTAAAGTTCTTAAGCATAGTGCCTGGGATGTAGTAAGCACTATATAGATGATACCTGTTATTATCATCATCATCATTATTGCAATCTGATTTTCTTCTTTCTTTTTCTCAGTAAGATTGGTTGGTGATTTATTTTGTTAGCCTTTATCAAAATAGCACTTATTTTTATCAGTTGCACACAATTTTTATTTTCAAACTTTTCTTTTGTGGCTAAATCTCAAGATTTCATTTATTGTATTAATCCCAAGTGAAAGTTATACAGGGAGTTCCTGCTCAGGTACGGTTTGGACTTCTGAGATTTCATTCAATTCTACATTCAATAATGTACAACAAAAATTAAAATAATAATATTACTGATGCTTAGAAAGTGAAATTTTTATCTGGAAAATTCAGTTATTTGAAAGAGTTCACTTCCTGATATCGTACCAGCCAAAAAAAATTGGGTTACTATTGAGTGATATTCGATAACTCCAAACACATTTAAAAAGACCCAGAACTGTGTATATGAATTAAATAAAAATATCTCCCACTTCGTTCTTTTATTGAAAATGAAACTGTATCTATTTTTAATGGCTACATGTCAACTTGTATATAATGAATTCTTTTGAATAACATGGGCAATAAAAAACCCAGATTATCAAAAAATAAGAACCAAGACCAGAATGCAAATGAGTCTACTGTAAACTGTTGGTTCATCCTAATGTTTTGTTTCTGGATTTAATATACTTTTGTTTTGCTTTTTTGTTTTGCCTTTGGATTTAATATTAAATTTATTTCCAAATATATTCTTCCTCAACCTCTACTCAAGAACCCAGCATACCTTCTGCTATAACAAAGATTTCAAAGGAAGAAAAAAAGAGTTCAGCAAAACAGTGTTCTATTTGAAAGCATAAACAATACTGGATAACCACAGTGCCACACAAATCCAATGTAAAGGAGAAACAGAATTCAATTATAATGGTGTTTTATTTGATGACAAAAAAGCTCATTTTCCCTGGCAAGCCAAAAAAGGTATGTATCATCATTTAGGATGTTTTTATATTCGTAGTTAGTAAGAATAAAGAAACATAACCCACCATTTCGTGTCATTTAAAACCTACCTGATTGTCTCATTAGTTCTCCTCCCAAACCTCTGAAAATTAAAAAAGAGAGAGAGAGAGAGAACATGTAGATCATTAAAGTGGCATTACAGAAATAATGGTCAAATAATTTCATCCAATATTTCAAAAATCTATAATTTCTGTGAAATCTATCATTTCACTATGGATATTTCCTCAACCAACAAAGCATTCCCTCAAAACATGAATAGGTTCTTCATTTTGTTCCTGTGGCCAAAATTATTCTTTACCTAATGACAAGCTGTTCAATAATGAGTTTCTCCAGATTACAATAATAGAATTCTTAATGAATGGTTTTGTCACAATGCAAAGAACTTAGGCTATACTTGCATAGTCTTTTAGAACTTGGAGAAGATGTCAGTGGAAAGGTCAAATAGCAAAATCAATTAAAAATATAAAGCACAAACATACATCTACACATGAAGTAATTCTGGGAAAATTTCTTTATATCAAATATCTCCAGGAAAATTTAGTGTCCAAAACATATATAAGACCGAGAACTACTCCCCAATAGATATGTGGCCAAAGAACATGAATACTTCATCTTGGTGGGGTTTTTTTTTAACTCAGTCATTACAAATTCCCAAAGAACCAGGTTCTCCGACCCCCCAAAATATCTCAATACACACTCTGAGTCTATCATTTCTGTCTGGAAGTGAGTAGCACATTTCATAATGATTCCTCTGGAACTGTGGTTGGTCAAACTGTTGATGAGATTCTAAGTCTTTCAAAGTTGTTTGTCTTTTTGGTTTTGTCTATTGTTACTGTGTAATTATTTTCCTAGTTCTCTTCATTTCACTTTGCATCAATTCATGTAAGTCTTTCCATGTTTCTCTGAAACAACATCTTTCATATTTTCTTTTTTAAAAATAATTTTTATTGATTTTTTTTCTGTTTCTTTTATGAGCATAGCTATCCCAAGTATCCCTTCCTCTCCCCCTCCCAGACAGCTACCCCACATGACTAATAATATCCTTTAGAAGAGAAAAAAATGAGCAAACCTGATTAATACAAAGAAAAGCTCTGAAAATATGTGCAATGTATAGTACCTGTAGCCCTCTCCCTCCACAAAAGGGTAAGCTGAAAGTGTCTTCTTTAAGCTCTTCATTTGTTTCTAGTTGACCTTTGCAATTGTGTTAGAATAACTTCAGATTTTTTTTTTAATGTGTAATCGTTCTTTCTGCTTATATTGTTGTACATACTGTGTATAGCACTTTTTTGGCTGATTACTTCACTTGTGTCAGTTTATATATATCTTTTGATGTGTCTCTTTATTCATCACACATTTCACTTCTTGCAGCACAAGAATATTCCATTATATACTTTTTTTTAACCATTCCCCAATTGATGGGTATGTACTTTGTTTCCTATTCTTATCTATGACAAAAAGTGCTGCCATAAATATTTTATAGTATATGGGTTCTTTCTTCTTACTGATAGCTTTTTTGGGGTATAAGCCCAGTAGTATAAGCCCTATAATTCAAAGGGCAGGGACATTTTAGTCACTTTATTTGCATAATTCCACCAACAATGTATTATGGTGTCTATCCTTCTATAAACCTTCCAACACTGACCATTGTTATTTTTTGTCATTTTTGCCAATCTGAATGGTATTAAGTGAAACCTCAGAATTGTTTTGATTTAAACTTATCTTATTATTAGGGATCTGGAGCATTCTTTCATGTGGGTGTGAATAATTTGCAATTTTTCCTTAGAGAATTGTACGCTCATATCCTTAGACATTTTGTCTATTGGGGTATGACTATTAGTCTCACATATGTTTATTAATTCTGTATTTATCTTAGATACCAAATCCTTATCAGAGAAATATGACACAAAGTTTTTCCAATTTGACTACTGATGCATTAATTTTCTCTGTGCAGAAGTTTATATTTTCAAGTAAATCAAAGTTATCAATTTTATTTGTTGTAATTGCCTCTATCTCTTATTTAGTTAAGAATATATTTCTTACCCATAGCTGTGAAGTATATATCTGCAACTATTCTAATTTTTAAATAAAATGATCTTTACTACCAAGATCATGTATACATTTAAAATGTATTATAAAATACAGTTTAAGGTGTCAATCTAAGTCTAATTTTTGCCAGACTATTTTCTAGTTTTCCTAGCATTTTTTAATCAAATGATCAAGCTTTTTCCCCCTAGATAATTTTTCTTCCACTTTATCAAATCCTAGGTTATTGAGTTTTACTGTTATTGCTTTTAAATCTCATTTATTAAGGCTATTGCACTGATTTAGCTATTTTTATACCAATACCAAATGGTTTTGATTACTGTTGCTTTATAATTTTTATTCTATGGTGCATTTGATAAGCAAATAATTTCTTCAGTTCTTATTTTCTTTCTAAAATTATTTCAGTCTGTATTTATAACTGAAACTCTATATATTTTTTATTTGCAATAGAGTTCAAATTTTCAGGTTAAGTCACCCTGGGCTGCATTTGCTCCTTATTTTCCCATGGGAACAGACTACTCTTAAATTATTCAACCATTTTTTCCCCTTGGCATTAAAGTTCTTCTTCCTGATCACTTTCAGAACTTGTTATTTCTAAAATGAACTGAATCTCCATAATTTTAACCTCTACTTGTTTCACCATAAACTATTTCTCTAACCATAAATCTGACAGTTAATTTCTTCCATACCCTTATAATTTGCTTATGATATCATCCTTTATATTTACATCATGTACCCATTTGGATATTGCTCTATAACTAGTTTCTATGAGACTTATTTTTCAGTTTTCCCAGCAGTTGTGAGGAATACTGGGTTCCTGTTCCAACAGCTGGGATTTTTACATTTATCAAACACTATACTGCGCTCGTTTGCTTCTGTGTCTCATGTATCTATTCTGTTCCACTGAACAACTTTCCTATTTCTTACCCAACACCAAATTGTTTTCATGATTATACCTCAAAGTCTTATACTTCTAGGCTTCTTTACATCCCACTTTTTTTCATTAATTTGCCTGATATTCTTGATCTGTCTTTCCTTTGGATGAATCTTATTATTTTTTTTCTGGCTCTATAAAGCAATCACTTAGTTGTTAGATGGCTATGGCAGTTAAATAAGTGGACTTATTTTGTACAATTGCCATTTTTATTTTATCGGTTCAGCCTACTCATGAGCAATTAATATATTTTCTCCAAATGTTTGGTTCTTAAGTTGTGTAAAGTCTTATGGAATTGTATTTATATAGCTCCTCTGTGTATCTTGGCAGGCATAATCCCAAGTATTTTATGCTTTCTATATTTATTTCAAATGGAATTTCTTTATCTCCTTCTGATGGATTTTGTTAATAATATGCAAAAATGCTTATGGTTTGTATGGTTTCATTTTATGTACTGTAACTTTATTGAAGTTGTTAACTGTTTTGATTAGTTTTTAGACGACTAAGTGAATTCTTAAGTAAACCATCATATCATCTGCAAAAAGTGACAATTTTGTTTCCTCTTTTACTATATTTATTCTCCTAATCTCTTTTTTCTGTCTTACTGCTATGGCAATAATTTCTAGCACTACAATAAACAGTAATGGTGATAACAGACACCCTTGCTTTAGCTTATCTCAATTACACATAATGTTGGTTCTTGGATTTAGAGATACTACTTACCATTTTCAGGAAAGTTCCATTTATTTCTATACTTCCCAATGATTTTAACAAGGATGGATGCTGTATCTTATCAAAAGCTTTTTCTCCTTCTATTAATATATGATTGTCATTTGTGTTCCTAATTTTCCTAATACTAAACCATCCTGAATTCCTTATATAGACATATAATATATAAAAATGGAACTATATCTTTAGGTGCTATATTGTTTTAGTCTTCTTGCTAATATTTTACTGAAAATCTTTGCTTCAACATTCATTAGGGATACTGGTATATAGTTTCCCTTTCCTGTTTCCCTTTCTATCCCTAGTTTAGGTACCAAGACTATACTTATGTCATAGAAGGAATTTTGTAGGATCTCTTCTTTTTATATTTTTTCACAAAACATTAGTACTGAAATTAATTGTTCTTTAAATGTTTGGCAGAACTCATTTTTGAATCCATCTGTTTCTGAAGTTTTATTTGGAGGGGAGGGAAATTTATTGATAAATTGTTCAATTTTTTTTTTCTATTGTGGGTAGCAGATAAAATTAAAGCAACTCCTTTTGTCTACAGTTCTCCTCTCCTGCCCCAACTTTGTTTGCATTGCAATCCCCACCCCACCCCGTTGTATCCTTCCTTACTGATTAAAGAGCAAAGACAGTCCAGTAACCTGAAGAAGAACCTTTCCTGTCACCAGCCCCAGCAAAAGGCCCTGTCCATTTAAGGGATACCATATCTCCTATTCCTACCTTGTAAGCCCCGAGCAACAAGTTCTGTCAAATCCGGAGGTACCTCATAACTAATTCACCTCCTCCCTAAATTAAAACCTATATAAGTTTTGTCCTTTCATTCCTTAGGGGAATCTCTGCCTGTGTGGGTGGGGCTCCCATGCTGGAGAACCTAATAAACACTCACTGGTTTCTAAATTTGTGGTTCTGATTCTGTTTCTGGTTTGTTCCAACATCAACAATTTTATTGACACTATCTTACCACAATGCTATTTAAGTCCTCTATTTCCTGTACTGTTAAACTGGGCAAATTGTATCGTAGTAAACTTTCACTCATTTCATTTATCTTGTCTGTTTTATTGGCATGCAGTTAAGCAAAATACCCCTTAATAATTGCTTTATTTCTTCATTACTTGTAAATTCACCATTTTCATTTATGCTACTGGTAATTTGGTTTTATTCTTTCTTTAAGTCAGATTAGCTAATGACACCTATTTTTTCTCAAAAATTGCAGCTTCTTATTTTATTTATTAATTCAATGGTTTTTATTGCAATTTTGTTAATTTTTTTTTCATTTTTAGATTCTGATGTTAACTTTTATTGCTCATCCTTTATATTTATTATTAAGTTATTTAATATGATTATGTATTTATATTATGTCTATGATTTATTAT